TGCGCGTGCCGCCTGACCGTTGTCGAAGAAGATTCATCCCCACTGGCTCGTACAGCTTGGATATTTTCTCTAGAACGTGCAGTTCTTCTACGAATCGGTAGCCTTTGGGGATGTAAAGTGTAATTTCTAAACGTTCAACAATAAGTACGACGAATCATTAATTCATTTGGGCAATTATGCATACCAAACACTGCACGTAAAGCACGGTGCCTAGAGCGGATAGAAAGAACACTAGGTAAGAGTGTGAGTCGAAAGCGCTGATCTCGAAATGCGTTCTAGAACGGCGTTTCCGGGATTAAAACCGAGAGTCGTAGCGTATTAAAAGAAAATACGATTATCGCTATAATCTACGTACTGGGAACCTTCCAACAAAGAAAAAAATATTGCGGACCAAAGTAGAACGACAATCGCAATACTTTTAGTCGTATACCACAAATTTTATAAGGTTGGATTAGAGGTACTAAATAACTCGCTATTTCTTTATCAAATAAACAAAGAAGTCACCTTTTAAAGGTAAAGGTGTATAGCGCAACAGAAGTCATAAAGAAAATAATTTATTTGCTTCCTCGATATCTTTTACTGCGTTTTCCAAATATAACAAAAAAGCTGTCACCTTATAGTTAACGAGCTAAACCTTTCAATATACTGGAAGAGTATAAAGAAAGAAGACACAGAGATAACTGAATATTACGCTTTTGACGAAGGCAGGAATGATTCTAACCCAGTTCTTACTTTCGAACGCCATATTTATACTTTAATTTAAGTCAATGCATTAGACAAAGAAAGCTTGAGTAACTGACCCACCCAACTTTCACAGAAAAACAGCCCTAACAACATCCGGCTTACGGAACACCCCCTGAGTTCGTTTTTGTCTATCAACAATTTAAATCCGACGAACAAAAGACGTGGAAATAGAAAGCGATTGATATTTACTTGAAAAACGAAACAAAATATTTGACACTTGATAGTCAACCTATGACGCAGTGGTTTGGTTAACCAAAACTGCGCAGACAAATAGTAGGCAAACTTACGGACATTCAGTGGTCAGCTTTTCTGCGTGCTACAGGGGCCATGCATACTACACCAATTTCAGCAGTGGAGGTACTATTAAACCTCGCCTCCACATCTTCATACAAGGAGAAACCAGGTCATTCAAAGGCTAATGCAGGGGCAAAACTAAAATAAGCCAACTATACGAGGCTATAACAGCAAGTAAAAAGGGATAAGATTCTAGGAATGCCTTCTGATATAGCCACAACCACACAAATTTAAAAGAAAGTTTCAAATTGAAATACCAGCCCGGGAATCCTGAAAACAGGAACATCCCATACTGGTTGAACTCGTCTTGTATACAAACCAAAGAAAGAGACGGTGCTGGAATCTTTGAACCCTAGTCGAATACAACGATTTCGCTGAGCCTAGGAGAATACGCAACAGTGTGCCAGGCTGAACTAATATCCATACAATACTGTTCAAGAGAAATGATAAATCAGCAAGTATCAGGCAAAAGTATTACCATCTACTCCGATATCTATGCAGCTCTAAAGGCAATTCTCTCACCAGAAATCAAATCACGACTGGTAACAGAATGCGTAGAAGACCTGACAGAGCCAATGAGTCAAAACAAAGTGACCTTAACCTGGGTACCAAGCCACGAAGAATATGAAAATGCCAACGAATTATCCCCGGAAGGCTCAGAAAAGGCCTCGATAGCCCCCGAAACCTTTTGTGGAGTTGCTAACGCATTGTGAAAAGCTTCCATCAAACAATAAATTAAAAAAACCAACATACGTGTGGCACTCGGGGACTGCCGCGGTAAAGCTATTGCATAGCATTTTTTATCAACTTGTGCAATTATAATTATTTATTTTATTTATGCAGTATTTTTTTCTTTGACATTAATTCAAGTTTTTTCTTTGATATTAATTCAAGTTACACTTTTTGAGCGTGGTGACCGATAAGAAAACAATTTTTTTTCTTTTATTGAATAAATGAGAAGTAAATATTGTTTAAAATATTTTTATTATCTTACAATACATGTAGGTTATTCAGGAATTTTTATCATTGAAACTATAGGTTTGGGGGCGTTCATTAATTACGTGAGGTGTTCAAGGGAGGAGGGTATCAAGCTAAACCTTACCAAATCTCACTTGGGGGAGAGGGGGTCTTTATAAATCTGACCGTAATTTTTTTCTAGTAGAAAACTGTGTAACATTGCGTAAAAGTCAAGTTAAATTAAAGTAAAAAATGTTTCTAGAAATTTTATATTACGGCACTTTTCTCAAATACTAGTCTTTGCTAGTCTTAAATAAAGTAATAGAATATATCGTCGGCTCGCTGCCAAAACAAGATAAGTTACATTTTGTTAGTTTTGAGTAAATTAAGTTTAAAAGTTTTAACCTACACTAAAACAACTTCATGAAAGAAAACATTTATTAAGTGGTAAAATAACATAGATTGTGGTACTATAAACATAATTATTAACAGATATAAAAAAAATAATTAGCAAATGTATAACTAGTAGAACAATTTTTTTCCGTACTTAACCTATTTTAGCTGAAATTAGGAATTCGGGAAAAAAGATAAGTGACACTTATTTGGTTTTGCACTCTAAACATGCTAATGTAACAATAAAATAAACTGCAAAAATGAGATAATTGACACTTATCTGTTTTATATATGCGCATAGGCATTCTAATAATCTTCTAAACTTCAATGGCCAAAATAAGTTAAATGGCACTCAACCAGTTTTTCCAGAAGAATTTATTCCCTTTTTGCATATGAAATTCTTACTTTTTGTTAAATGTACCCTTAACTTGTTTTAGCCGTACATTTTTGAGCAAAATGAATTATTGCCAAAACAAGCCTATATGTGTCAGTAGTTTTCCATTGTCCAACACTTATCTGGTTTTTGCAGTATATTTTTATAACCATCTTGGGTACAAAAATGTACTTATCTTGTTTTGGTAGTAAGCCGACGATAGTTGTTTTTTTTAATAATCCAACGCGTCTACACCCAAAACACAAATTTTGAAAAATTTCACGTGAGATTAGGGGAGGGGGGAGGGAGTTGAGGAAAATCCTACGAAATCTCACCAGGGGGAGGGGGGGTCAAAAATTCCCCAAAAATACCTCACGTAATTAATGGACGCCCCCCTTGTGGTAACTGAAATAAGAAACATAAGTTTGAGACTTGATATCCTCTAAATATCTGGAAAATACCGCGCCAATGGTGGTCCCATATTTTGTTGTGGATTCTTGTGGATCAATATTCATTTTCAAATTCAATTTTTCCGAAATTGTGTCTAAAAGAGATAAAATCAGTTGTGAGCAGTTAGCAGCTAGTCTACACGCATACGTCTAGTCGCACGCACACAAACACCGTGCCGAAGTCTGCCGAACTGAAACGACGTTAGACGATGCACGGCTTTCAACGCCGCAGCGCTGTGCCGGTCGGAGTGGGGGGTGTTAGGTTTATTTTCGTTACGGAATTTCTTTTTCGATTTTTCGGTTTTTTGATTTTTCGATTTCTCGATTTTTCGATTTTCTTTTATTGAATAAATGAGAAGTTAATATTGTTTAAAATATTTTTATTATCTTACAATACATACCGCTGTGTCTGTCGGAGTGGGAGGTGTTAGGTTTATTTTCGTTATGGACTTTCTTGATTCGGTCGCCGCGCTCAAAGCCCGCGATAAAAGCTATGCAATAGCTTAAAATAGTTTCAGGAATAATGGATCAACTTATCCAGGGTTCAGACATGACAAAGAGTTTATTAAGGAACCATCAAACAAGTTCACGAAAGACCTACTGGATCAAAAACGACAAATCGTTAAGATAAAAGTACTCTTACTCTTACCGGACACTGTCGCCTAAGAATGCACATGAGTGACATCAATCCAGTAGAACAAGCAACATTGTGAATGTTCTGTAAAGAAGAAGAGGAAACATCAAAGCACGTCTTGTGCCAGTGTGAAGGCCTGGCTAGATTCAGGTTTCTAACACTAGGTGAAAAAAGCCAGAAGCATTACATGCGGGTGTCACTGTCAAAGCTACTAGGTCTAATAAAAAAGACCAGGCTACTCTAAATAACGGAGTCCCACAGTGGATCTGAAAAGATCTCGGTGGACAAGGACAAAATAAATAATATCCAACTCCTTTCTAATCTAATCTAGGAGAGTGGGTCAACAACAATATGAATGTTCTGACATAGCCATCAAAATGTTCTGACTTGAGCCCCATTGAAAATGTATGGGGCTTCATAGTCAAAAAGATATATCAAAGAGACTTTAGGTCGGCAAACCGCGGTTAATTATGGGAAGTCATTGAAAATGCTTTGGAAGAGCTACAACATGCGACGTATATTATCTATGTTAAGAAGATTGGAAAGTGTTATGTCAGCCAATGGCTCTGCAATAAAATATTAATAACACTATTCTTGATATAGCTGTTAAATTTTGACGATAGCATTGTCTTCATTTTCATTAGAGACCTTCCCTACACCTTATCTGAAAGGTCTTTGCAATATTTATTGTTCTTGCCAACGTTTCTTAACGTGAAATATGCCACTTTTTCTGCCACTTAATTCAATACCCACTTCACCTAAAGACCAATTTTCGTCCAATTTTGTTATAGCCTTTGATTTTTTCCTTGTAGCTGTAAATTAAATTTCGAGAAGAGCTTATTGTCTTCATTTTCATTAGAGATCTTTCCTACATCTTGTCTGAAAGGTTTTCATAATCGTTGTTGTTCTTATCAGCGTTTCTTAACATAAAATATGCAACTTTTACTAACATTTTATTCAGCACTCTCATGGGTAAATGAGCCAATTTAGTTGCTTGATCATGATAATATACCTACTACATTCTACACAAAAACGAATGAAGTAAGATACTCAATAGGTATATCATCAAGTAACAATTTATTTATATAATTTCCTACTTATTTTTTACGGTAATACTTTGTATTCATGAATTTGAGTTTTTTTTATTCTTTTTTAGCTCCTGCGGGGAATTTTGGAAAACGATACTATCATCAATTCTACTATTTTGGGAACTGCCAATCAAATAAAATTTACTAAAGATGACAAAAATTATTTGATAACCTTTGTTAATGGTTCTGATACCAAGTAAGAAATTTAGTTGAGTTAACAGAATTTGTGATATCAAATTTTTTTTATTGTTTTAGAAACATTCAGCCTTCAATAACTTTACTATGTGATAATATTAATCAACCTTTTCTTAAACTTATAGATGATTTAAATAAGGTAAGTCAAGACAATACATTATTATTCACCAATCGTAATCCACCTTGTCCATTATTTGACACTTTCGCATTGCTCATGCGCGCAAAAAAGCATTCCAACGACCTGTCAAACAATAGCTGCCAGTGGGAAGGGCTCGTACTTAGACATCATATTGGGACGCTATTTTTATTCGAAATAGTAGCCTGCCAATTTATGAAAAATGTATAAGCGTTTTTTTTTTAAATAATATTTTCATTGTGTTAGACATAAAATATTTAAATTTAATCCATTTTCATGATTTCACGTATTGTAGGTAGAATACATCGTAACCCTTTATAGTCATTGCAATGAAATGTTCGTTGCACGTCATAAACTCATGAAAGTAGACGTTGCCACGTTGTTACTACAGGATCTCTAGAAACATTTTATAAAAAGACTAATGTTTAATTTGATCTCCATCTTTTGACACTTTAAATAATTAATTCATTAAACATATATACAATTTTAGAAGCTTTCAGGAATAATTCTTCCAATATAAATAAATAGAATAAAACTAATCAGCAAGTAAATCTTTATTCAGAATAAGAATCACTATCGCTATCATTAAAATCAATAATTACAGCTAAAATATCCTCCCGTTCAGCATTTCTGAATAATTTTGTCAGTATAACTGATACAATTAGACCAGATTTAGGACCCCCAAACAGTCTGTAGTGCTTCCCTCCACGAACTTTAACAATTTTGAATTGAATTGCATTTCCTACCAATATGCCGGTTATACCCCATATCATTTCAATTGGGTTAAAATGTAAAATGATAAGAAGGTAACCGAATAACTGTGTGGCCATATTGTTCTGCAAGTTGATCTATTTTATAAATTTTTTGTGGTTTATTTCTTAAAACTGTTTTCAATATATCTTGTTTGTATATATTCTGATCAAATTGAATGTTGTGTGTCGTCAGCCAATCCTGAATTTCAGGTTTTGTCTAGTAATTGATTATCGAACCATTTTAAAAAAAATGCTTCATTTATTTCCCCATGATAGTCAGGATTGTTACTATTTGATGAAAACACCAGTGTAGTTTTTACGTTCATTTTATCGTTATTTTGCCAAGAACGGTTTACTGTGCCATTTTGAAAAAATCCATGTTTCATCCAGATAAACAAATTTAAAGATCTGATGTGTCCAACACATGACTTTCCTATCTAGTTATTATAGGCTTTTTCCGGTTATTTTGTACAACCTATTGCAGCTCCTCTATAAATGTTTAGAGGATAAACTAAATATATACATTTTCCACATACATCTAACTCGAAACATTTTTCTATAGATAATATTATAAGTAACTTTTATTTGAATTTTTTTTTTCCAAACGTAAATAACAGATATATTCCATAAAATATAAAAACGGCCTCCCTTAAAGTACCCCCTCAGATGTTCCGACTTCTTCCAAAATCTAATTATTTCACCTCAGGCCGAAATAAAACTTAAGTTTAAAATTTAATGTTTTTATCCTTTACCCGTTTTTGAGTTTTCTTCAAAATTCGAAATTTACACTTTTTCTCAAATATCTCGAATACGGTCCATTTTAGAGAAATTATGTATGGGATAAAAATTATAGAGAATTATATTACATTATTTGAACAATTTTTATAAAAAATTAATTTTTTTACATTTTGTCAAATTTTTCGAATACGGACCATTTTAGGAAAAACACACACGCACGCACTTTCGCGCCCACGCAAACACACACACACACACACACGCGCCCACACACTCATCATCGCGAAAATAGTCAAAACGGATTCCGGGGACCCCAAAACGTAAAAATCCGTCGAAAATCTTTTACTGGGCGGCTATCATCGACAATCGCTAAAAAAACGAACTGTTTTCGAAAGTGAGTGGTTGAAAAGAAAGTAGTTTTTGAAATCTATATTCTTGACTGGCGTTCGATAAGCGTTCGTTTTTTAAGACGTGTACGTTTTTAAACAAGTAAATATGATTGACATCACTGCAAACTGTCAATGGGTCCTATGATTGAACGTTTACGTTATCCGTATCGTACATGTTAGGCCGAGTTTTAACAGTAATGAGGCAAGTTCGTATGATGGAAAATTTTTTCCAACACGTTACTGTTATTTTCCGCCTATTATCTTCTAATTTAACAGTTTTCCATCATCCGAACTTGCCTCGTTACTTTTAAAATTTGGCCTAACATGTACGTTACGGATAACGTAAACGTTCAATCATAGCACCCTATATTGTTGAATTCAAGTAATGTGTAGGCCATAAAAAAATAAGGATTATGTAATTTAATTACAACAAACCAATTGTAAATTTATCGAATGATTATTTTTTCTAAATCACAAAATATATAAATATTCAGAATAAACTGAATCGTTAATTTTTTGCGGAAAAATATCTATACGGGTGCATTCAATGCAACCTATAATTCCAGGAAAATCGTACGTCATAAAAACCTAGTTTTTTTGGTATAAAATTAATTTAAATAATGACTGCTTATCTCATTCAGTTCTTTACTATTTTGTGGCAAATTTAAAAATTTGTTAAAATTTCTGGACATAACGTGTGAAATAGAAGAGCTTTGAACTACCACTTGCAAGAAAATGCGAGCAAATTAATATATGTAAATAAAACATACATGAATTAATAATTAAATTCTTACACGGTAAGATATAAAAAACTATTCATTCAATATCCATTAAATTCAAAAAATAGATTCTGCCTCTGCATGTTTAAATCTTTGAGGATTCTTATCTTCCAAGTTTTCTAATTGTACAATTAATAATAATTAAAAGAAATTCTCGGCTATTAAACTTTTTTAGTACTGCAAACCATATTTATAAGAAATTAGATAATTTTGTAGGTATTAATAAAAAGTAGTTTACCTAGAATTTGTTAAAATCAATCAATATTATTAATCATCCTAAAAGTGACATAAGTGACATTAGCTAAATCCTTGAAAACATGCACGTTTTATCAAAAACGTGTGAAAAATTCCGCTCGCTGTAAAACACCTTAAAAACATACGCTTTTAAAACGAATGTCGAGAATAGCAAATAGCTCGCATGTTGTTAAAGCGTGTACGTTTTTTAGAAAACGATAGCCGAGATAGGGCCCCTGGCAACAAGTTTTATAAGACCCGTCGGGATTACCTTTTTTCCATTTAAATACTATATTGGTTAACACTGTATCCAATGATCTTTTGCAATCATTAATCATAATCAAAAATAATTATACTAATATATAAATGCGAAAGTTTGGATGGATGGATGGATGGATGGATGGATGGATGGATGGATGGATGGATGGATGGATGGATGGATGGATGGATGGATGGATGGATGGATGGATGGATGGATGGATGGATGGATGGATGGATGGATGGATGGATGGATGGATGGATGGATGGATGGATGGATTATAGTCTGGAATAGCCCATAGGCTACTTTTTATCCCGAAAAAATTTACGGTTCCCGTGGGATAGACTTCTTTTGTTTTCACAGAGCAAGGGATCATACATGACTTTTGCATAGTGGTAGTGGAACATGAAAATTTGAAATACAGCTACTGAGCATAAATAAATAATGACGTGTTTCAGGGTTTTTGGATTTCACATTGAAGAGGGGGAAACGGGGGTTGAAAGTTTGTATTTTTTTTTTAAGGTAATAACTTGATAATTGGAATTATAGCTACTCATCACAAATTAATAATGTCGTTGTTCAGGGTTTTGGATTTTCATATTTTAAGGGGGAATGGAAGAAGGAAGGGGGGAAAGGGGGATGAAAGTTTGTATGAGGCTATCGATTTTTTTAAAAATAGGAATTATATATTATTTGTATATACAATTTTTCACGATACATCGTGGCATATTCAACTTGAATAACTAAAACACTTTAAATTGCTAATAACACCAACAAATAAATCAAAAACCGGTGGTCCGTGATAATTGATTCACTGACGCGGAGATGAGCGTAGAATAGAAATATCGGAGCCATTCGGGTGGCGTCGTGGACACAGTTATTTTTAATAGGTACGTTACTTAAGGTTGGAATCAGAGCTGTTTAAGATCATTTTAAAAACGATTTAAATCAAAGATCATAAATCGTTTGCATTTGAACAAATGATTTAAATCAAAGATCGATTTAAAAAAAAAAAAAAAAAAAAAAAAAAGATTTAAATCAAAAATCTTTTTTAGATTTAAATCTTTTTTACAATTTAAATCATTTTAGGAAAGATTTAAATCTTTTTGAAAGATTTAAATCATTTTGGGAAAGATTTAAATCTTTTTTTACAATTTAAATCATTTTAGGAAAGATTTAAATCTTTTCGAAAGATTTAAATCATTTTTAGGAAAGATTTAAATCTTTTTATAGATTTGGGTAACTCTTGAAAAAATGCTTTCGGTATGCCAAAGATAGATAATGAATACTTTTCTCGTATTTATTTTTTATCGTTATTAGCCCAATGCAATTCTTACGGAAATATTAATTTTAAATAATAAATATCTGATCAAGATAAATTTTTTAAGGATTTATGCAGCATTGATATCTATAGTTATGAAAATTGTTATTTAAAAATGTCATGTTGATTGGTAAATAGGAATTTTTCAACCCTTTAAAAGATTCTTTTGGTATGCCTATGATGCCACAAAACAATGGAGACCTAGTTTTTAAGAAAAGTTATTTTTTTTCTGAAAAATTTCTTAAATCCGTCAACTCTTCCTTGAGTTAACGTGCTTAATGTCATACATACATAAACACCCACATATGCACATACATCAGACTCTTTAAAAATATGTTTTTTTGTACTTAGGAGACTCTCTCGGAAAAATGCATTTCATTTTCAAAATCTCCCGGCTATGAATAATGAAATTGAGTGGGTTGAATTAAAAGAGTTCTTCTCTTAACGTGAAGTTATTGCGAGTAAATAAATAGCCAAAGTAGGCGCGTTTGGGTTAATTGTTTTGATGAATGTGTGGATGAATCAGGCAAGGAAATAAAAAATTTAATTAATTCGCTCTTTCTATGCCAAGCATATTTATTGAACTGGTCAAAAAGTCATAATCGTCTTAATGCAACTAATGTCAAATCTGAAATAAAAGTGTGCATAAATTTAAAATACATATGTAAAGAGTTTCAGGATTATATCGATAATGAAAAAGTATTTCCAGCTGCTTGCGGTGTAAAAAATACAACTTTACAAAAAAAATATCTGGTCAAAAATATTGCAAAATTTCATACTTAAGAATAATCTTTAGACATTGCAATTATTTGTTACACTTTACTATTTTTTGTTTTTCTTTTCTCTTTTATTTCTGATTCAACCCTACTGACATGCTGGCTAGATTATTATTGAAAAGACAGGTTGATTTTGACGAATCAAGTGATGTAAATCGTTTTAAAAAGATTTAAATCTTTAAGAAAATTTAAATCATTTTAAAAAGATCGCATCATTTTACAGGTTTAAATCATTTCAGAAAGATTTAAATCAATAAAAAGATTTAAATCGTTTCAAAAAGATTTAAATCGTTTTAAAGATTTAAATCGTTTTAAAAAGATTTAAATCGTCTTAAAAAGATTTAAATCGTTTTAAAAAGATTTAAATCGTTTTAAAAAGATTTAAATCGTTTTAAAAAGATTTAAATCTAGTTTTTAAATTAAAAATCAAAGATACTTTTCAGAAAGATTTAAATCATAAATCAAAAATCATTTTTTTTAAAAAGATTTAAAATCAAAGTATTTAAATCAAAAAATGTATTTAAATCAAAAAATGATTTAAATCTCACTGATAGGTGACAGCTCTGGTTGGAATAGACATGTGCAATGTTACATCTCCTGTCTCTTTAATCTAAGAAGAGAAGTAATGTCTCTTTTTAACGGTGAGTCGGTCCGTTTTACTGAAATATTGTAATATTAGAACCGTTGACTGAGGTGCTTTTTGCGAGTCGAAAGAGAGCCCAACCCCTAATCTAGTGCTGAAGCTCAGTGATTCGTGTCCGTTCGTTCCGTCTCTCTAGATTCCATTTACTTGAATCCTTTAGTTCACTTAGAAGATTCGATCTTTTGAACTAGTTTATTTGCGAACTACACACCTCTATTAATTCTGACCCTGTTATAAGCCCGTTGTCTAGATATTTACATGCGAGCACGTTATATGACCGTGCGAGCGCGCAGAGATCAGCTAACGGGCGTGTATCGTACAACGTTTTATGATGTACTGCAATTTACTACGTTTTACAACCTAAAATCAAATATTTGACACCATCATTACAAGTTTCCGAATGTGACTTAAAATAATGACAGTTCGACAGTTCAGTCGTAACTGTTGTTAAAAATTTTACCGGGCTAGCCCGTTATGACTCCCTTATTTACCATACATAAAGGTTGGTGACCACGGTATCTATAACATTACAGTATATCATAAAAGATGAAATTACTTTGCCGCAGACGCACCAACGGTGGAGCGCTCGATGACGATGTCTTCAAAAAGCCGATATAGAAAATAATAATAGAAAAAGTTTGCTGCCATCTTGGTAGCGGTAGAAAACCTTCAAGTTTGGAAATTAAATTGTTACAATATGTTGTATTTACGCAAGGCTCAATTTTTTGTGATACAATAATATATATTATTAATGAAAATCGTTTGCTGCAATCGATCTGGTGGTGAAATGCCCTGTCAGCAAGCAAAAAGATACTGTGAACCGAATTTCAAGAAGGTGACAGCAAACTTTTTTTCTACTAACTTCTGATGTAAATATCTGAAAGTGTTACGCTTGCTCTTCTATGACAGCATTTTCTATACAGGCTTTTCTAAGACTTCGTCGTCAATGACTCCATCGCTGCAGGGACTGCAGAAAAACTATTTCCACGTTCTACAAGGTAAGAATGAACGAAATAACACCTAAAGTGCCACTGGCTCCTCTAGCAATTCCATGAAACGCATAAATAAAATGACATTTACGGATATGTAATTAGAAGGGTAGGGTAGGAAATATATGATTTTAAGAGGAAGTAGGATTTGCCATGAGTAATTGAGATCATCAATAATGGAATCGGTATATTAACAGCCGTATGCATAGTCGATCGCCAGCGACTCGCCAGAGATTCATTTCGGCGTATCGCCAACGATCCGCTGGCGAAAGCCCGAAAAGGTGGCGACTCGCCGGAGATTGTCACCGGCATGTCATTTCACGCAAGTTTTCATGTTCTTTTATAGGGAAAAATTTGATATTCGTTCATTGTGTTTTGAGTTTTAAGAAATGAATCATGAATAAAATGCGAGAGATGTCGGTGATAATCCCTATAAAAGAACATGAAAACTTGCGAGAGATGACATGCCGGTGACAATCTCCAGCGTCGCCACCTTTTTGGACTTTCGCCAGCGAATCGCTGGCGATACGGCGAAATGAATACCTGGCGAATCGCTGGCGATCGACTATGGATACGGGTGTGTGTATTGAAGAAAAACTCTTTAACAACATGAATAAAAAAAAGTTGAGTATGTACTTGAACAGAAAGCTAAATTATTATTATTAACGAACATTTTTTGTCTATGGTGGTAAAGTTATAAAAAATAAACATAGCTAATTTGCTTGTTTGTAAATAAGTGCGAAAGATTATAGAGGGTAGTTGCCAAAGTTATTTTCTTAAAAAAAGTTCCTATAGACGTAGGTCGAATTATGCTTCGTTTAAGAGATACAGAGCATTTAATTTTTAATTTTTTATTTATATTTATTATTTCAAAGATATTGACTCGAAATTTTTAAAACGCTTTGGAGGGATAAATGTGCATTTTTTGATACAAAAATGAGGCGCCACTGACTTTCCCGTTTTGATATTATTTGACAAAATACATTCAGCAATAACTTCCTAAAATATTTCGCACTTATTTACAAACACCCTGTATGAAATAAAATTTGTTCTAGAGCTTGGTATTATCATCTCCGAGAGTTTGCATACTTACAGAACATCATGGTATGAGTGGAGGATCTGTATTTTTGTTGATCCTATTCATTGTTGCTTCAATTTACATCATTGGAGGTGCAGCACTATTGTACTTCATCAGAGGAGCTAGGGGAGTTGAGATGATTCCAAATATAGAATTTTGGAAAAATTTACCTGGTCTTGTTAAGGTAAAAAAGCAATAGATTTTTGTTTAGATTAAGTATATTTTCTCATTTAATATTTTAAAATTATAGTGGTTGCTTATAACCATCTCTTTTTTGATACATTGATAACTGTGTATTTTTCTACAAGACGCACCTTAAGGAGTGACAATTAATAGTTCAGACGAAAGTAATACAAATGGTGACAACGACGAGTGATAGCGAGTACAAGTTATGTTAACAATAAATAAAAATTATGATCTGAAAGTAACATTAAAATATATTTTTCTAAATATCATCTTATAAATTTGAGGTGCGTCTTATATTCCAAAAAATACGCTAAATAAAATCGTCATTTAATTAGGAATTCAACTAAAAAAAATATATATTATTTTAATGTTGGTTAAAAATAGCGAAACCACAACATTGTAGTTTTTATTTCTTTGTTTTCGTATTTTACAAAGAATGCGTAAATTCTTAATCTCGACGATTGAAAAGCCCACTATTTCGCTTACGACTACACTGGTTTTTTAAAAGGAAAGAACAAGACTTCCGCTCTCGACTAGTTATCTACCTGTAAATTCTTAAAGACAGAAACGTCAATTAAGAGAAAAAGTATAGTTGGGCGTTTGTCAGAATTGTCAAATACACCATTATTGTAATTAGTAAAATTCAAATTAATAAGGTTTTATTTCCTCAATTCGTTAATGTTTTTTTTTGCAATACGTTTAAGAGTCCATATAAAAACATGTCAGTTTGTCAGATGGTTTGTGAATTAGGCCATTAGAGAATATAACTCAAGATTCATTTACTAGCCAATCAAAATTAACACAAAACTCATGTTTTGACAATAACGTTAGATTATAAGTCGACTTTTATATTCTGAGAAAAATAACACAATAAATATATGACAGTGCCAGTTTGAATTGACTTGATTTTACACTTGTGTACAGCAACAATACATTATCATGGTAACTTCTAACAACCATGCAAATAAGTCGTTGGCCCATCATGACAAATGATCTTCTCCAATTCTCTAACAGAGGATTCTGTCAATACATTTTTAACGGTTAAAGACAAATAAATAATAATAATAAAAATGCTTTATTGAAACGTAAATAGTTACAGAAGATCATTGACAAGTTTCTACAGCCTTTTTTAAAATATGTAATTAGATTTTTAACTACGTTTATCCGGGGTGTTTCGCGAGAAAATGGAAATATTTAAGGACTTGTTCTGGAAGTCGAACTGAAACATTTTTGGTGTTATTAAAACTGCCATCCTAATTAATTTTCAAAAACTTTAGAAAAAACGGATTTTAATTATGAAAGCACTTACATGACTATTTAGCGCACCATAATGGGATTTTTCCATGCGACCGCACGGGAAAATATTTCCGGTGCGCTAAACGACGTCATTATTGATTTTGTCTAGCAACACTAAACAATACATGTATTAATACAGCAGTTTTCAGATTTTTTAAACCATATCCCTTAGAAAGTCTAGATACCGCTTGGCGCAGCCATACTCAACCTTTTTTTCCTTCGGGCCAAATTCGTGTTTGCTATGTTACACGGGCCACAATATTTTTGTTAGTGGGGACCTCTAATAAATAAAACACACTTTTTGTATTTTCAAAGTTTATTTTATCATTTCATGCAACCCTCTGAATAAATACTGTGCGAGTTTGGCATATAAATCCGAATGCAACACTCGCCCATTGATAAATCTATTTTTCTGGTAGAATGTATTTTGGATAGCTGAATCTTTCGATACAAGTTGTTTATTAGAAAGTATGGTTAAATTCAAATTCACCTGTAATACTTTTATTTACGAATTTTCACATAAAGATTCGCTCGTTACGGCTTGACCAATCAGTCGCTACAGCTTGAGTAATCACCCGTTATATCTTGAACAATCACTCATTTACCACGGAGATTCGGACATCACGTGTTATTATCTAGTGGTTGCTGAAGGTTAGCTGTATCGCGGAAAGAAGGGGTGACGTAATCATCCTGTGGTTTTCGGAACAATCGAGAGAGACCAGCGACGGCTGTAGTCATAAAACAAATGGCTTGGGCACAACGTTGCAGTATTTCAACAAACCCATTAAAAAAAAATAATAAGTAGCGGTAAACTACTCCCGAAATACTGGTACGTTTTTACTCAAAATCACTACAAATTTTCTCGAAAATTCCAAAATCATCATCGAAAAGCATGGTCGTCATCATCGCCGAAATCAATTCGTTGCTGAAAACCGTAAATGCCGAGAAAAAAAGATCATCGTATAAAATTAAAGTGGATTTTCAGTGAAATCACATGAAAAGTTTTTATGTGATTTCCGAAATACAGATACGTTTTGACCTTAGTGGTTTCCCCTCGTTTCTGGCCCTTATCTTGTTTTGGCAGAAACACTATTAGGAATCGGACTAAATATATTTAGCAAAAATAAGTTATATGCCTATTATTTGGTTTTGGTAGACACACTTAGCAATTGAACACAATGTTATGATTATGTTTTGGTATAAATGCCACTCCATCTTGTTTGTGTATAGGGTTAATGTATTAATGTAATTTAGTTTTTATTGGCTATCTGTTTATCATGAATATGGACTTCGTTTACACTTGTAGAAAGTATACTCAACTCGAAAATTCCAAAAGTGGATTTATCTTATTTTTGCAGTTACCTCACAAAATTACACGATTATAAAAACAGAAACTTATAGTTCTAATTATAGTGTTTCGGGCCGCAAGAAAAGCTTGGAGGGCCGCAGGTTGAGTATAAAGAAAATTCTCCGACAACAATTCCCGATGGAATATTCCCCGACAACAATTCCCCGACTGGAAAATTCCCCGACATTTCACCACAAAAAATATTCGCTTTGAAAATGCTAAAATCTATCATATCAAATATCATAAAATTTTAAGATTTTAGATTGTCAAATATTGAAGAATTGAATATATAGAAATAGTACCAAAAATTAATCTTTTCGAAACTACTACTATTTTTTTTATAAAGACAATTAAATAAAGTGCAATGCTAGAGTTACAACGCTTGGAAATATAGTTATTAAAAAAACGGAGAGTATAACCACACTGCCGATGTCAGAGAAGTAGAAAAAAACCAAATTTTATAATAGGGTACGTGAAAACGCAAGAACTACACAAGACGCACCACATTGTGTTATCCCTACTGAATGTATTGGTCTTGGCCAGCCAACTGCAGCCACTTTACCGAAAGTTTCTAGCATAAAACGAACAATAAATATCGTTCGTAGAAAGGCAGGAGCTGCTCCAGCTTTTCCACCTCATCGACGAGATATCGTATTTCCCGCAGAATACACAATGATAACGACTTTTTTGTATAACAAACGGTTCTTTTTAGAACCACAATATACATTTGATATAGATAGAATATATGTTTTTAATGTAATATATTTATCGAGGAATTTTCCAGTCGGGGAATTCTTTGTCGGGGAATTTTCCCGTCGGAGAATGTCCCAATCGGGGAATTTTCCAGTCGAGGATTTGTTGTCGGGTAATAATTATTGTCGGGGTATTTTCCTAGACTCCATTTATGGTGGCCGCCATGATCAGTAGATTATGTTTTGGCTACACTGATGTTTAATTTGTGTGTTCTGTAATACGTGAACACCGAGAATCTGCACTTTGTTATTAGTTATAAGTTATACCAATTTTTGGCGAACTCCCGGTGATTAAACGGTATTAACCGTATCATTTTTGCGACGTGAACCGCTCGAGGGGAAGTGTTCTGACGTCATTGTTTGCTACCGCCATGATGAAACTGTTCCCGGCCTTTTGAGGTGGTGAACAAACGGTTGATTGTTGTGTTGAGTGACAATTGACAATTAGATTTTTGGTTCATGGTTCATCATCATTCATCGTTAATTTAATTTTGTTTTGGAATATTTGCGTCTGTGTTATCTGTAAATACTTTTTGAATTTATTATTTAAAAGAAAAATTACCTGTCTTCCATCAAATATGGAGGAAGAGCAGGTATTTGTTGAATTTTCGATAAACCATAAGGGTGAGGACTTTGCTGTAACGGATACGTTGGAAATTGCTCAAAAACTTTTAAATGGTGAGATTTGTTTTTTCTGTTTTTTCTGTTTCTTTACATGAAAAATATGCTGAGGGACCATCAGTCTACATTATCAGATAATGAAGAACAAGAAGTAGCAGAAGCAGCAAGTTCGGCAACAGGAGGACTGATATGGAGAACCAATCATCCAACCCAAAAGGATTTATTGGCAACTGAATTTTTTTTAAAATTAAGAGAGAAATATAGCGTTTTGTTTGATGACAAAAAACTGTTAAGGGCACCATTTGGGACAAAATTGTCAAAGATATGAATGAAGCTGGTTTTTTTTTTGTGGGTAACGATAAAGGAGCTGTTGAGAAGTGCAGGTTGAAATTCTGCAACTTACAGAAAACCTACTTTCAATATCGAAAGCACTGTAGTAGTACGGGACAAAAAAAAAGATGAGCCTGCTTTTTATTCCTTACTACACAGCATTTTGAGCAAAAAAAAAAGTTAAGCCAAAAAGTTCAACTGAACAGTTGATCGAATACATGAAAGATGCACATTCAAAAGATAGTGACGATAGTAATAGACAATTTAAAAAAAATTGAAACTTTACTGGATACTCAAAATAAACAAAGAGATAGGTTTTTAGATTTATTTAGTGGATATATTTCTAAAAAAAGAAAAAGGGACACAGATATTTCTGATTCTGATTAATTGGTTAAAAGGAAAATATAGCTACTTACTGGTCCATTAATTATATTTTTGATTTATTAGTCTTCACAAGCTATTTTGAGTTTTGTTTTTTAATAGTTTTAAAAGGTGTGACTTTGAAAAAATTTGGTTTTGTTTTTTATATATGTAGTAGTTTTTATTTATTTAGTTGTTTTTATTCATATGTGATACAAGAGTACCTTTTTACGTTTGTGTTTAAATTGTTGTTGTTTTTTGTTATTATTTTAAACAAATGTTTTTAATTCA